GCGATGGTATCAGTGATTCACCTCGAGTCTTTGCAAAAAAAACCCCCCAAAAAACGCTGCGTCTCAGTGGGACCAGACGGATCCTCAGTCGTATTACTGAGCGCCTCTGTGACCTTGTAGTGAGATGTGAGGGAGAAGCTGCCCGGAGCCCTTTGCCACAGTTTTAATTACTACTGGCGAAGGAAGGTTGCTGTAGTTTGTGTGAGATCTGAGAGAGAGATATGTGTGTGTGTGTGTGTGCCTTAACCTGTGCGTGATCTGTGTGTAGATGCACACTGCATGTGTAAAATCTGACACTGGAGTAGAGCTCTCCACCAAAAACCCATCCTATTTGGGCCGGTCCTCTTTAAAACCCTCTTACATAAGCCACTACTCTCAGATGTGTGATATCATGGAACTATTTTTGGCTTTTCCTCTGAAAAAGGCTGTTCAGAGTTAGATAAAGACTCGTCTATTCTTTAAATAATACATTGGATCTCCCTCTCATCTTGACTGTCTTAATACACTGTCCTCAATAAAAAAGAAAAAAAAAAAAGAAAAATTGTGCTACAGCTGACTCGGATTGACCCGCGCAGTTTGGCCTCTTTGAGATGTCAGAGGAAGAATAATGAATTTTATATTTGTAAACTTAAGCCCTTCTATGCGCTGACCTGGATTCAGTGCCCAAACAAGACATTTTGTCACTGTCCTAGATTTCTCTGTAACTTCAAAGAGATGGAGAATCTGTTATACTTGCAAACTGCCATGACGGGGCATTAAATATTATTTTCTACTTTTCATGGTGCATTTAGAGTCGGAGGGAAGGGACTGATTGATCCTGAGTTTGATTTATAAAATATAACGTTGCGTTTTTATGTGTAAAGGCTCAAACAAATCTAATGGCCTCATATTCATCACAAGTTACAGTACTTTGATGCAGAAGCAAGTTTTTTGTCTCGTATTGCACGTGGCCGCAAAAAAAATCTTGATCTTCTACACATTTATCAGAACATCCTGATAGAACAACGGATGAATTTATTTAAGTCATTTATTGATTTCTGTGTTTTTTGCCATCGTCACAGTTTCACTCACTGCAATGTAAAGTCCTGCGCCTCAGTGGAAGCAGCACAACCATAGATAGAAGTAGAGGGAGATCTAAAATGTCTTTTGTGCATTTTGACACAGTTATAATGCCATAAATCAAAAAAAAAGAAGAAACTAGAGTTTAATTTGTGAACTTTATCACAGCTGAGTCATGAGTAGCTTCCTAGTTGTGCAGAGAGGCACAGATTTTATTAATTTTTGGGATTTTTTATTTTTTTTTAGCTAAGACATGGAGAATAACGTGGTTTTAATGAAATATGATTTTTAGCTGAGATCTGGTTAATTTCTCTGACAGAGTGATACGTCACAGATTCTTTCTGTGTTTTTACCTTCTGGCTCTGAATAAATGGTGTCATTTGGTGATTTTTCTAAAGATAACATGCCTTTCAAGCCTCCTGGCGGGTTATGGGGTTCAGATTGTTATTTTAATTTTTTAAATTTTTTAATGAATAATCGATTTTGATGTATTTTAAAGCTTTGTCGTCAACCTTAACTGACCTCATAAACTGGTAATAGCAACGAGGTCAATCCTGCATTTGCTCATGACCCTGTGAAATCTACCATTTGTGTTATTTTCCCTCTGTAACGGCTGACAGGCAGAACCTACATGTGTTTATTGGTCAATATTTTTTTTCCCTTGGGATTTTCAGTTCAGCATAATGCTGTAACCCAGGAAACACATAAAATTGTATTGTTGCTCTCGTGAGCTCAAGTCACTCCCCGATGCAAGGAATCAGTTGGCTGTAGAACATCACAAGCTCTTATTAGAGATCCATCGAAGCATCTCCCAGTGTGGGTAAACTAAACGGGGATTAAGGTGATGCTGGGAGCCCTCTAAGACTGGTGGGTGATCTTGGATTTAGCAGTGATGGCGAGATAAAGGGGCTTCTTTGTGCTTAATTGATGGCTGTAAACCATGTGTTGTTAGAGAATCCTGTTTTGTTGATGTGGAAACAGCAACAAAACAGGATAGATGAGAAATAATTTGTAGGGATGCACGATATACATCAACGACCACATCGGTATCTGTCCGATTAACAAATTTAGCCGATGTGAAAAACTGATGATTGTCTAACATTAGTGCCTTCGTCTCTACGTTTGCTGTTATTTCACAGATGTTTTTACTTAAATGGTCCTCAACGTTAAATATGTTAAAAAATGTTAAAATATGTTTAAATATGTTTTACTTTTTTTACTTAATAAAGACGACTACGTGGTCTAACTTGATACAGGCTTCTTTTGAATAGTCTTCACGTTCTCACAGTCCTTACCTATACTCATTTTTCAGTTTGAACAAAAATTGAATATCGACATCGGTAGCTAATATTGGTTATCGTGATATCAGAAATCATAATATCAGATATCGGTATCGGCCAGAAATTTTAATATCGTGCATCACTAATAATTTGGGTATATTTTTGTTCCAATATAGAACATTTTTGGGGGTTTTTTTGTTTTTTGTTTTAATGGAAACATCGTAATTTGAAATACTTTTGATTTCCTCTAAAAATAATAGAATTAGTTTTCGCCATATTGCTATCTAATACTACCAAATGAAGCTGTACTATAACTGCCATGCTATCGTACACCATATATTATGTAAAGTTGTCACATTTCTGTCATGCCAAGTCTTTTTTCTAAAGTATATTGTCAGCAGTAATAAGGTTTCAACAATTCTCGTAGATTAATTGTAGCAACTGGACTTGCTTGAGTTCCTTGAAGACGTTTCGCCTCTCATCCAAGACGCTTCATCACTTCTGACTGACTAGTTGGGAGTTCCAGATACTTATATCCTAAAGGAGCCATTAACACCTGAGTTTCAATTGGGGGTTTGTTGCTCCTCCCCCTCGTTATGTGGGTTGTTAGTGCTCTACCTGCCACAATGGGGTTCGTTAGGGTCTTTTGAAGTGTACTGGATTGTTGTGTTTGTTGAAAATCCTCCTGTGCTTTTCAGAAACTCCTGCAACATAGGGGATGACTGTGTTGTTTTGTTTCTTGGTCTTCTGAAAAGACCAAGAAAAGCAACAAACCCCCAATTGAAACCGAAACTCAGGTGTTAATGGCTCCTTTAGGATATAAGTGTCTGTAACTCCCAACTAGTCAGTCAGAACTGATGAAGGCTCTTGGACGAGAGGTGAAACGTCTTCAAGGAACTCAAGCAAGTCCAGTTGCTATCCACGAGAATAACCACGACCTGGATGACTGCGAATCTTCACAGACAAGGTTTCAACAAGTGTACAGTTATAACAGCGGCTCTGAGATTAATGAATCGTGAAGATGTGCAGGAGTGGATGGAGGCTTAATGAGAAGATCGCATTCATCCCTAAAGTTAGGAGGTGCTTGAACTCCTAAAGGCTTTGGTACACTTTTAGGAAATCTGCTGGTGCACCTCTTGGTCTCAGTCAGAATTATAATATCCTTGTGTTGATCGCTATCATGAATCACAAGTTCTGCTTAATCTCTACAAAGTATGTAATTAACCCTGCACTGATTCGTATCGCTCATTAAATTAACACAGATAGGACATTGAAAATAGAGCACGGCGCCTTATTATCGCAGCTCAATACTCAGCACCTTTCAAATTTGTGCTCCGAAAGTTAGGAATGTTTCTCAAAGACGTGTCTGCAGCACGGAATCATGATTCCACGAAAACAATGTTATGATGCTGCCAGTGTGTTATTTTTTAAGACATTTAGCCTAAATGTGAAAAGTTAAATTAAACAAAGTGGCAGATCTTTGTCTGTGTGCGTGCATGCTGGGCTCTTACACTGTACAGACCTGCAAATTCTAATCTTAATGCAAAAATTCATTACAGCTATTTTATTTTTTTTGGCCTCTGGAGGACATTTATGACCTAAAATGTGCTACAAAGTGGAAGAGAGGGAACAAAATGAGCATGGAAATGACATATAAAAGGGGGTTGTGGTTGTGAATCATGTGTGTTAGGCAGAGAAAAGGTGTAAATCTTCTATCTGTCAGAGTTGCAACTGCGCAGTTTTCTCGTCATGAATGTGATTTCACGAAACTAATTACTCAGTAAATCTCAACCTTACATTCAGCAAAGCTTTATGCATGTGTGCTGCGTCAGATTTTCAGTTCATTAGTTTGTAATTGCTTTGGAAAATATACTTACTGTAAAAAAAAAAAGTTTGCTTTTTAAAGTTTGGCACGCTGTTTTCGTGAATTGATTTACAGGAGATGCGCTTTAAATTTGCTTAGGTGGCAGCAGTTGAAGTGAATAATACGTGTCTGTAAAAAGGCAATTAGTGTTTGAGGTTCAGCACATTTTATTCTTCGTTAGGTGTGTGTGTGTTTTTGTGTATGTGTGTGTGAATCTGATTCAAAGTGCTTACATGTGAAGAGCGGAAATGCTTTTAACTTGGCAACCCGGAGATGAATCAAATTGCTAAGCTGCTTTTCTCTTGTCATCAAAACGTACACAAACACACAGCAACGGTGACTCACAAACCTATGCATGCCTCACACACACACACAAACACACACACAGCGTGAAGCCAGCTTGAAAGGTCAAGCATACCGGGGTCATCAATTCCACCCAATATTTACGCATCTATTTACAGTTACACTTTGAAGAGGCCATTTCGGTGACATTTGAAGTAATTTGAAAGAGCTGTTTTGTTCACACCTTCAGACTGTGAATGAGCGTGTGTTTGTTATGGCCACCTTCCCATGATTTAATCCCCGAACTAACACAGGCCACTGACCGAAGCAAGGGCAGATCTCAGTTCTGTCATCCAGTGCATTAAGTTCATTGACACTGTTCTAAACAGCGCCGCTAACAACAACAACAACAACAGTTCAAGTGAAACCGGCATAATGTGACAATTCGTTGGCAGAGTTATTGATGACAGATGGACTCCTCGCTCACTGAATTCCTACTTCTTTTGTCTCCGCAGCTGTCCTTTGCAGCGACAACCCCAGTTCTGGCAGACAAGAAAAAGTACCCCAACTTCTTCCGCACCGTCCCGTCAGACAACGCTGTCAATCCAGCCGTGGTGAAGTTTCTCAACTACTACAACTGGAGCCGTGTGGGGACCCTCACTCAGGACGTCCAGAGGTTCTCGGAGGTCAGTTCTCCATGTTTTAATCTTTAAAAAGTCTACTTTTTATGATTTGAAAGTTGACAAAGAAAACCAGGGGAAACACAGGGAGATCCTACAGGCCAGAGTAGAATGATGCTAATATTAAAATAAATAGGGGCAATGAAAAAGTTTTTCTTTTACCTGTTGTTTGCAAAATCCCTGCAACTCAGAGTGCAAAATTGTCCTCCCTTAAAAAGTGACCCCATAGACTAGCACAGCATTGGAAACAGGATGCCACCGTTGTTTGCAGTTTTTACAATTATAAGGTTGGAAACTTAGACTGTATAAAAGATGGACGTAGCAACCGGCCCTGAAAAATGAAGCCAACCCGGAAGTGTCAAAAACCTGTAATATCACTACGTCCACCAGTTGCTGGCTCCAAAAAGCCCTGGCTCCCAATGACTTGAATTGCAAAAGAAGTGATCACAGATCATGAAATACCGCATTCCTACAGCTCAGGATTTTTTTCTTATTAGTTTTCATAGTCAAATCCAGAGATCAGGTGGCCAATCTGAAAATAAATCAATACTGAATTTTTTTTAAAAATCGTCAACATTTTGTGGGGCAAGGGGCGTGGCTGGCTTGATTGACAGTCGGCAGCGACGATGCAGACGAAGCGAGCAGAAGGCGGTAGATGTGGCCGGGCAGAGAGGGCCTGCCTCTCAATCCGTCTGACCAATCGCTGCTCCTATGGCTCCGCCCCCCTCCGACGATTTTTGCGTCACTGGCTCCAAAAATCCAAGATGTCAACCAGGAAGTAGCAAAACCCTGGCTTCATTTTCTCAGTGCAGAAACCAATGGGTGACATCACGGTAGCTACGTCCATCTTTTATACAGTCTATGGTTGGAAATAAGGACAAACTATTTCTACGATAGTTCAGATTAGAGGCCTTGTTACAGGGCTTCCTTCCTCTTGGTCAGCGCCCAATGTGCCATGTCCTGCCCTCAGTCTTCTAATTATGCCTTTGAGGTTTCAAAGCTAGAATCAATGTGACTGATGGCATCAGAAATCTCTATGAATGATCATTTCATAAACAGATTTTTCTATTTTATTTGAATAATGCTATTAAAGTACTCTGTGTAGCGCTGTTTAATCAGTAAATTCATCCAAAAAAATTACCCAAATGTGCCATTTGTGTTAATTCAAACCGAACAGATCCATCATCTGTATCAGAGACAACTATGGTAATATCTTGGCAATGATAAATGAGTGGAATTTAACAGCAAAAATAAAAATATAGATACTGAATTTGAGCATAGTAATAGTTAATTGTTAAAAATGAACTGCATGGTTTCTCTTTTTCTCTGTGTGTTTTCTTTATTTGTTGAAAACATAGAACATTGGCAGAAATATGAAGCAGAACAGTTCAGTGGATATATAAATACTTAATATCACGGCTTCACAGTATGACCTTCACCACACACAGTCGAAACAGAAAACCATGTTTAGCGTGCTCTTTTTTTTTTTACAAGTCTGCGCTCTAACAGCAGTGTTTACAGGTGTTTCTGTGTTGTACTAAAGTTGTTCAAGTCAGTGCAGCGTAATACGATCCAGCGTTGCCGCTCTCATTCCTCCCCTTTATGGGAGAAACTGTTTCATGTTGTGAAGGTGAAGGTTGGCATTTCCCTATCATAAAGCAGTGAAAATATTCTCATCCAGGGAGATTTTTTTTATCTTGCAGCTGCACAAGCTAAGAGCAGCACTGAACATTTATTGGTAGTTTTTTTTACAGTTATTATTCAGATGATGCCATGATTTGAGACCGGATTTGAGTGGGTGGTAATCAGTTAAAGAGCCCGTGTTATGCACATTTAGGGATCTACTAGAATATGTTTACATGCTTTAATGATTAAAAAGCACATTATTAGCTCATTCTCGCTCCACGGTACATTTTAGCTCCTTTAAGGCCCCCAACTAGAAAGCCTAATCTGCTCTGATGGGTCAGCTGGCCTGATGAAAGCGAGGTAAAGTTGGTTTGTACTGTAACCCTGCAGCCCTGGCAGAAGCAAGCACTCTGAGAGCACTTTGGGTTTGGGGAGTTTGCAGACCTTTTATACGCAGGAAAAAAGGTAAAACACAACAAGGGAAAGCAAAACCAAAAAGCATAATGAGGGCTCTTTAAATTAAAAGTATTCTTCAGTTATTGGCTACATTACCATTTTTACAATCCAGTTTTCCATCCATCCATCATCTACACACCGCTCTATCCTCTGTAGGGTCAGGGGGGGCTGGAGTCTATCCCAGCTGACTTAGGGCGAAGACAGGGGACCCCCTGGACAGGTCACCAGTCTATCACAGGGCCATACTTAGAGACAGACAACCAAGCACACTTACATTCACACCTACGGACAATTTAGAATCACCAATTAACCTCTACATGTTGGGAGGAAGCCAGAGAACCCAGAGAGAACCCACGCTGCACGGGGAGAACATGCAAACTCCACGCAGAAAGATTCCGGTGCCCCCACCGGGACGCGAACCGGCAACCTTCTTGCTGCGAGGCAACAGTGCTACCAACTGCGCCACCCTGCAGCCCACAATCCAGTTTTGTACCATCAAAATACAACTTTTGTAACAGAGATTATCGTTTATATACAGCCAATCAGATGATCTCTGTTGGGAAGGGGAGGGATGAAAACATGCAGTACAGAATATACACTACATTCTGTACACAGTAGTGTATTAACATTTCAAATGCCTTTCGTAACAACTAAAGCTATATGTAAGGTATAAAGCTAAACCTTCAGATCAGACAGTTGTGTGATGTGTTGTAAAATGTGCCAAAAATACTGTCCATCCTGGAAAAACAAAATTGCCTTTCCAGCTGGGAGCAGAAATTCTGGGAGGCGAGGTCTGTGTGACATTTTAGCCGCCTTTTATATTCACTACGTTCCGTCTGTTCTGTATTTTAATATCCCTTTCCCGTTAAATAAGCAAAATGCAAAATCCAGCCTACATTACTGGAGCTGGGAGAAGTAATTTAGGGAAAGATGAAGAACATTATCTGTGTTGACTCAGCACTCGTAGCTAACTCTCCCATTGTTGGAACTGAAATATATCTTAAAGCTAGAGGACATGTTTTGAAAGTTGTGGTAAGTTGGATTTCAGCTCGGGAACAGGAGACGTACACACATTTGCATTACCGTGCAAAATCTCCTCTATTGTTATGAGCAGCTAGCTGCTTCTGGCTGCAAAGCGAAATAGGATGAATCATATTTAAGTTGATCCAAACCATTAGCTCAAGATTTTAAAAGTTCAAACTCATGTTATACCAGAATGTCTGCTGATTTGCAAGACAAACAAATTTGTGGGAGGGTTGAACATTAATTTAGTCAAGCCTTTACAATGACACAAACTCATCACCAACACGGAAACATTCACACATCAGGAGTCAAGTCAAATGTATTGACAGCATGAATTTGACAAACGTATCGTGAGCTCTTGCCTCCAGGCTCTGGTTGAAAACAATCTGCTCAGCGGCTGCAGGGTGGGAGGTGGAGGTGGGGGTGTGTATAAGAAGTCTCGCTGCAAATCTCAGAGAGACCAAATCCCTTTATCGCTCCCCTCCTGAAAGCACCAAGGCGCTTAGGATGGGAGGACGACAGACGGCCCGATTCAATCAACCTGCCACGAGATTGGCCTCTAATCCTGATTTACAAATATGCAAGCATTGCTTCCATACTTCATGATTCATACAATCCTCTGTCAAGTTCAGAGCATGCTGTGTTTAAGGAAATCACAGCAGCGTGCAGCAACACAAACGGCTGATGAGATGCGAAGCAGTAAATGTTGTTTGGATGTCGCCAGAAAACAAAAAAAAAAAGAAACAAATATAATGCTATATCTGTTTTGTTGTTGCATTTTGTTTCATTGCTTTTAACAGTGTTTTATCTATCTTTTACATAAAGTGGTGTTCCTATTATTCATATGTTATACTCAGAGCCCGAATAAGTATTTCTTTTATTTGTCAATTATCTCATAATACTGTTTTCCTAGTATTTAGTATTTTATTTCTCTATAAAGTCATACCACTTAAATTTGGAAACACAAAAACAGACAGAATGAGTGCAGCAGTGGGCTGGACTGATCAGAAATCCTGTGAAAATCCTGCTGCTATGAGCCACTTTGCAAATATAGGATCATTAAACAATGAAACTAGTTGTACCTTAAGAGCGATCTTAAATATAGAAAAAGAAAACAAGACATAGGGTCACTAAGAAAGTTTCATGACTTTGGAAGTTGATTTCCAAACTTTACTAAAATAAATGCAAACATGCCTTCAGCTGTTGGAATGGTTAGAAACAAAATAATTTGCTTGTTTTTTGGGGGGAAATCATCCTAGTTTATAATAACAATTATCACACCTTTTGCTCAGGGGTTTGAAAAAAAAAAAAAAAAAAGGCATGATATTGATGGTGTATTTGTGCTGTGTCAAGCTCTGGACCTGAGTACACAGAGTAGTACTGTACTGTTTATACTCCACATTATGCAGGTGCATACACACACAGGCTCTTGTATCTGCATAATGAGTATGCTATTGACTATATTGTAATTTCCAGCACCTCTACGTCCGTCTTTTTCATTCTGTGCCATACTCCCCCCCCACTGATCTGCAGTGCAGCTTCCCGGGGAGAGACTGCTCACAAGGTTAATGTTACGCAACACTTGTTAAGGATTCAGTCGGTGGCATGCACATCACACGCGTCCACATACAGTACGGTGTCCCCTGAGAATGTAACCTGTAAGCTAAAGCCAGTTCGTCACTTCTATTCTTAGGCGCCGCTGAAACACACACGTATCCTGCTCATGGACGCACACTGATGTTCCATTAATGGGGAGGCTGGTGGTTTATTGTAGTGAGAGATGACTAAAGGCTGGGTATTTGTGAGTGTGAAAGGTGCATATTCACACAAACACACACACACACACACACACACAAGCACACAGCAATCAACATTATTGAGATTGCCAGACAAAACAGGGC